AATTAAACAATACTTTCACTATAACGTAAATTAGAAGTGTAATAGAAAAAATATATATTTCTGCGCCATTTTGAATTTTACTCGAATACAAATACAAATACAAATACTTTTCCCCCTCAACAAATACAAATACAAATACCGGCTGCTCCGCACATCCCTAATATATATATATATATATATATATATATATATATATATATATATATATATACAAATAAATACAAATATATATATTTGTTGTCATGTAAACAATCGCCATTCACATGCAAAAGCAAATAAAATGCTGTTTTATGCATGGCAGGAAAATACTTTTGGAAGGAATTTTGAGTTTGCAAAGAAACACTATGCGTCAGAAGCCAATCATATGCAGTCAGAGCTGGGAAAACATTTGATCCGTTTATCTCTCGAGTCTTTGGTTTGAGTTGTTTGTTCATCATGTGAAAAACAGAAGCCAATCATATCCATTTATCTAAAAGATTAGATCTGTTCATTTCTTGATCCTACGTTTTTGAGTCATCTCTCTTTACATGCTGTCACATGATGAACGGACGACTCAAAAAAACTCAAAGACTCAAAAGGTGAAATAAACATAGGTGTTTCTGATTCAGACTGTACACATTGATGATGCTTATATATGACAGTCAGTGTCAGGTGAACGAACGACTCATATCTGAAGACATGCCAGAAGAGGTGAGCAGAGCTATACATAGATAAAACAGCAGGTAAACAATGAATGATTCTTTTCTCTTTCTTGTTGTATTGTATAGTAGCAATCTAGTTATGACTTGTTTGTAGTGTTTTCAGCGTTTGGGCTAGTTGTAGATGAGTTTGGAAACATCTCGTAACATATTAATGTTATTTTGGCAAATTGAAGGAAATGACCTGAAAAAAAAGTTTCATCTTGATGATAGGTCCGAGTGATTAAAATGACCCAAACTTCCCATCACTATCAAGTACTCCCACATGACAATAGAATGAAAATTTAATAAATGTAAATGACTTCACTGTTTTCAAAAAAATCTTTTTTTTTTTTTGTAGTTTAGATTAAAATGATAATGGTATAGTTATAAAGGGTGTCCATAAAGTGTTTACGTGAAATGTCAGCTCAAAATACCACACAAATAATATTTATTACTTATTGAAACTGCTTTTTTATGCTTTGATCTTAATTGTACCATGCCTGTCACTTTAAATTCAAATAAGATCCTTTTTTCAATACCGGGCGGAGCTACAAATGCCTGTGTGTCAGCATAGTGTCTGATTTAAAAACATGACTAATGTCCTATGCAAATGAGCGAGAGAACGTCACTAATGGGTGGGGCTTTGCTCCTCTAATGACATGTACAAATCGAGAATGTCTATCAAAGGGTTTCTCCAGACTGTTTTTATTAAGTGTGATTATAAAAAAGAAAATTATTACATTTTTGCCACTAGAAGTTGGGTGCCACGCAACTACGATTAAACCCCTTATGAAAGTGATTTTTGCATAATAGGTCCCCTTTAAACACTCCCAAAACACTTTAGCCATGTAAATGAAGTCTTCAAAAAGACAATCTTGTGTTGTGTTTTAACAATTTGACGTGTAAACATCACTTTGGTGTAGGTTGTATGTAATTTTCTAGCTTGTTAAAGTTGTAGCTTTTTAGGCCACTTTTCACTCATTTGATTTATGAGTTGCCATAGTCATTCTTATGTGTTTTAGAGAAAATTAAACACCTTTAGTACCTCTCACTTGACATTTCACTTCCAAACCACTGCGAAACAATCTAATTGTTGCACGGATGTTGTTTTTGGACCACTGTGCATTCAAGCTGAGTGCATGTGACTCACTTGTTTAAATTGGACCCGATATCCTGTTTTTAATAGCCCTAAAAATAGCAAGGCACGTATGAAAGGTCCAGGTAAAAAAAAAAAAAAACATACAATTACATAACAAAGAACAATAAAAAGGTCCTGTCTGGACAAGAAACTCCAGGGCAAGAGGTGGCTGTAACCCTTCACCGAACCCAGCTAATCTCGAGCTGCATCTGCATTCTGGAGCCTCATTTTTGGATTAGTTGATGCTCGAGTCTTACAGCTAATCCACATAATTCAGCCTGTGGAATCTGCAGTGCTGTTGCGTAGATCTGCCGTCTCAAAGTAAACTAAAGCAAATTCTGGAGCTGCATTGGATGCCAGTGTCAAGGCTTCAGCCTGTTCTGACAAAGAGAAACACCAGGTGTTCAGGATTCCTCACCTGTTCCAAATCGCACGCTCCCGCGCCAACTGTGATTGGAATATTTAGCAGAATACTGTGCTTTTTAGACTCATTTGATGTCCTGGCTGTATTTTATAGAGGATAGAGGGTGATTCAGACAATAAATATGATTAAACTCCTCGGAATAGGCAGCGATTCAAACAAATACGTAAATGTGTCATACAAATGAACGTGAGCCAGACAGACACGGGTCAAAGCTCATTATAAATGCCACACACACCTCATATTACAACACACCTCCCAGCTACCGTTTCATACTATCTGGTTTTATTCCCACACTACTGTGTCTGCATGCATATTTATCCTCTCCATGTAAAAAAATCTATGTAAGTGCTTTTAAAGTGCAATGAAAGTTGCTATTGTTGTTCCACATTTGATTTTTTTTGCATGTCTTGTGTACATTTCGTTAATGTATGCTTTTTTTTTTTGTACATTCAGTGCATGGCTACTGTGGTTTCGTTACATTTTACTTGAAGTGGCAGCTTACCCTTTTACCTACACAGCGCTTCTGTAGCTTCCCTGCGCAGAAATGACAGGAATGCTCTCATGTTTGTGTCTCCGCACCTGTTGAGATCTACTTGTTCAGGATGCGTGTAGGAGGAACATTTGCATATTGTGTACCGAGTTGTTGCGTGGATGCACTGCTTTGATGGATTTAGGAATAGTTCTGGTGCTAAATGTTGATTGCATTGCAGTAATTCCAGCCATTGCATTTGTAAAATTTTTATTTAATGTACAATTTTTTTAAATAGCTTCTGAATTAGAGCTGTGATATAAATCAGATGGACTAAAAAAGTGAATTGTTACATATCGTGCTCTATTTTATTTTGTGGTGTTGCAAAATATTATGTTTATGGTAATACTTTTCCTCATTTGCATAAGTGCAATCTGACACACCACCACAGGAATGGAGGAAGAAATGTAAATAACAGCATGGCCAGAAAGTTGCTATTTTGAAGAAAGTAATTTTGCATTTTATTTACCAATATTTTATGTTGGACCTGTAATTAATAGTTTTTGATAAATGTTTTGTATTTCATTCATGTTTATGTTATATTTCTACATTCTTAATCAAACATTTGCCTAAAAGTTCTAAATAGAGTAAGAAAAATCATCATTATGAACGAGTACATTTTTGAATATATACAGTGCTCAGCATAATTGAGTACACCCATTGCACATTAAGTGCACATTTTGAAAACTAATCTTTCACAGGGAATATAGCCACTTTGGTGCATTTAAACAAAACAGATTTATTCAACAGATATTTTTGTTAAAATTATATTTTAGTCACCAAACATATTTAGAAATTGAAAGATGATACAATTAAATTTAAGCAAAACATCTAAAAAAAAATTACAACCTACAAAATTTCAGCTAAATATTTCCAATTTATTTGCTTCTCCTGATTTTTCCTCTTTTTAAAAATTTTTATTTAATATTTTTTTAATTCTTTTGACCGTTATCCTAAGTTATTTTGATAAGCCTCAGATTTGGCTTCACTGACTAATCTAATGTATATGCACAAATGTAATGTTGTTAAGCTTCCTATTAAATATCTGAATTTAAAGATAGATTTGTGAGAGGTCTACTTATAGTTGCTTAGCACTGTATATTTTAAAATGTACAAAAAATATATATATTGTGTGTGTGTGCGTGCATGCGTGCATGTGTGTGTGTGTGTGCGCGTGTGTGTGTGTGTGTGTGTGTGTGTGTGTGTGTGTGTGTGTGTGTGTGTGTGTGTGTGTGTGTGTGTGTGTGTGTGTGTGTGTGTGTGTGTGTGTGTGTGTGTGTGTGTGTAGCCACGTAATGTGCGTTTTCAGCTGACAGTGTGGATGGAGATCTTTTAAGAAATGGCAGGTAAAACACCAGTGTGGACGTAAATCGTTTTTATTCTAAAACAGTTTTAAAACTGAAATGTATTAGTGTAAACAGGGCCTTAGACATGATGTGTTAACGGCCCCTAAAGGGTTACTTTTTTATTTTTATTGTGCTTCATATGATAAAGATTATGTCAAATCATCAGCTTTAATTTAGAATTAATGCATGTAATTATGCATCAGTTACTGTTCTGTTGCAACTGTAGTAGCAACTAAATTATGTGGAACATGGGCACTATGAAATAAATTCTAAATGTTGTATTTTGTTTTTATTTCTAATTTTATTTTATTTCATTTTCCTTTCCTTTGTTTATTTATTTTTTCATCATTTTTCTTTCTTTCTTTTTTTCTTTCTTTCTTCCTCTCTTTCTTTTAGGCTATTTCGGTTAACACTTTTATTCCAGTTCTCAATAGTGAATTTCATTGTCAATTGTCCCTTTTGTTCAAAATGAGAAACTATTCATGTTGCTTTTATGAAATGTGAGAGACCTTCATTTTTACTTTGGGAAAATAATGTTACATTCTTTAATTACATTTTTTGTATGAGAATTTTTGTTTTAAAAAATAAATTAAAATGTTGAAATTTTGATTATATGAGCAGTGAAAATAAGGTAGAAAGGTTGTAGAAATAGGGAAGATGTGGTGGTATGCAGTATAAATAAATGCTTTCTTTTATTTGCAGTTACATTTAATATTCTTTCCAGTGTTTCAGTGTACTTCCCATAACAATGACCGTAAATCATTTGAAAGGACGAAGCATTGAACTGTGACCGTGTTTGTAGGACACTTCACATAAATAAGGGACACATCACAGTGCTACGTGACTGTTTGCTAAAAAGCTCTCTGTGTTTCTTTCTCTGTAGTGCTGCTGCATGAGGAGGTGCTGCGTCTGCAGGAGGAGGTGTCCGTGTTGAAGCAGGTCAGGGAGATGTTGAACCGGGAGCTGGAGGAGACAGGAGGAGGCTGCTCTGTGGAGCTGATGTCCGTCTCTCAGCTCCGAGTGCAGCTCACACAGAAGGAGCAGGAGTTGGACAGAGCCAAGGAGGCACTGCAAGGTGAGAACCAACACCATCAGCTTGACCTTTCACCTGCAGCTCCCAGCAAACAGTGTAGACCTGTTCAGTTCAACTAAACTGTACTGTTGAAAACCCTAAATGTGTGCTCTTAAAAGATTCTGACAAAACATAATCTTTTGCGTCATTCATTTATTGAATTTATAGATTTATAGTGATTCGTAAGATTTACATTTTATTTTTAAAATGTCACTTGCATTCATTTATTTTTGGAGAATTATTATTAATATTAGAATAATATATAATGTATTATTATTATATTATTATAATAATTATTATATTATATTATATTATATTATATTATATTATATTATATTATATTATATTATATTATATTATATTATATTATTCTTTTTCCTTCTGCTTAGTCCCTTTATTCATCAGGATTCGCCACAGCATATGTTTTACACAATGGATACCCTTCCAGCTGCAACCCAGTACTGGGAAACATTCAAACACCCTCATACACTACGGCCAATTTAGTTTATTCAATTCACCTACACCATATATATGTCTTTTGACTGAAGGGGAAACTGGAGCACCCGGATATTATATTATATTATATTATATTATATTATATTAGATTAGATTAGATTAGATTAGATTAGATTAGATTAGATTAGATTAGATTTAATGCTGGGAAAAGATTAATCGTGATTAATTGCATCCAAAATAAAAGTTTGTTTTGACATAATATATGTGTATATGTGTATTATACAGTATAATACACACATAGATAGAAAAAATTCACATTTGTAGATTGTAAATTTTATATATTACATCTATGTTACATCTAAAAATAAATAAACTATTTATCAAAATTAATGCATGCATGTGTGTATTTCTATATATACATAACAAATATGCATAGTATGCACACCTAAATGATATCAAAACAACTTTTATTTTGGATGAGATTATTTCTGAATAGTTTTTGCCCAGCACTAATTATTTAATTTAATTTAATTTTATTTTATTTATCTTTTATTTTATTTTTATTTTTTTGGTCTCAGTCTCTTTAATAATCTGGGGTCGGAATGAACCGCCAATTTATCCAGCATATGCTTTATGCACCGGATGCCCTTCCAGCTGCAACCCATCTCTGGGAAACATCCATACAGTCTAATTTACACATACACTACGGACAATTTAGCCTAACCAATTCACCTGTACCGCATGTCTTTGGACTGTGTGGGAAACAGGAGCACTTGGAGGAAACCCATGTGAATGCAGGGAGAACATGCAAACTCCATATTTCATTTTATGTTATTTTATTTTATTTTATAAAAAAAATAATGTTATATGTTCATTTGCATGCATACACTACACATCAAAAAGAAAATAAATGCAAATGTATAGTAAAACAAAAAAAAAAACTGCTGTGGTTGTCAAAATTTTACCACTAAAAATAATTTCTACATTTACAAGAATGTGTTTCATTACTTTATATTGTGTTAATTCACCAATGTTTTAATTGAATTACTACAATGAATTAGTTGTACTAATATATAATACACATTGTATCGTTTTTTTTACAAAAAAAAAACCATCCAAAAGCAGGTGGTGCTGCTAATGATATTACATTGTATTATCAACAGCAACAAAACTAAAAAGTTTTAAGTATCATTCAAGGAATTCTCAGAAAGTCCATTCAGTTATTCACCATAAATATTAAGGAACCTTAAACTATTAACCAAATAACAGATTGTTACTGTGACATTTTTACAGTTTTACCATTAAAATCACATACATTTTAATTAAAATCACATAGTTCACTGTATTGTTTGTAAAAAAAAAAAAAAAAAAAAAAACATGAAATATAAAACTCCTAAAGGCCTAAAACTAAATATAATTGACCAGCTTGTCTAATCTACATGAGGACCCAACATCACATTTTAATGAAAAGTCTATTAACCACCAGTTGTTAGTCACTCTAGTTTTACTTACTGAATATTTTCTTCATTTTTATTTCCAACAAATATAACTCTGAGCTAATATACAATTTAAAGAGGGTGTAAAATGACTGACATCCAAAGGTGATATTGCAGTTTTCACTGTGGAAATGATGTTTTAAAGGAGACTTTTAAATCTGCAGAGAACTGAAATACCCCAATAATGTTTTGTCATCTCGCTTCTCCATTTTTGTGCTGAAGCTCAATTTCTGCAACGTAGTTGTAAAATGCAGAAGTAATCAGTACAGCAATGACCAGAAAACTGCCACAATATTCCCGCTGTTTAGGTATCAGGGGATTCTGCTCTCCTTTGTCTGACTTTGTGTTGAAATCTAGTTTCTCCTGTGAGCCTCAAAGCCCGGTGTAAGACTGAATCAGAAATAGATGTTTTTGTGTGTTCACATGCTAGATCAGGGAGAGTTAAATGGCAATTTTGAGTGTTAAACAGCTTGGCATAGTAGGTGTTTTCTCCTGCGCTCATCTGAGCAGTAACTGGACTGCAGTGATGATTGTGTGTTTGTCTGTGTCTGTGTTTGTCTGTTTTTGTGTGCGCAGTGTATGGTAAATTTATTTGTCAGATTATCTTAGTTTTTAATCTTGTTCTTAACTTTTATTCTATAAAAACTGATTCTATTTTCATCCTACTATTTATTGTTTTGATCTAATATCTTCTCTGTTAAGTACTAGGACTGTGTATATTCATTAACTACTAAGATTGAGTAGACTAGGACTTAATAAGCACTATTTCTTATTTATTATATACTTGTACTTATTCATTAGGCACTCAAACCTATTAAACAGATGCTAATAGTACTTGTTCATGAGATAGTATATTGATTAGACACTTATACATTTAATACCTTTTTTCTTACAAGTCATAATTCATTCATGATATGACTAGTCAGAATAGCCACAGCAAAGTTCAATAAAATAAATCTTACCAGTAAATAGAAAAAATAGCAAAAAATAAAATAAAAAACAGTATCTTATAAATAAGAGCTATATAGTGAATAAATATTACTCTATAAATATAAACTTATGCCTAATATAGAAGTGTTATTATGAAATAATTAATTACTACACTGTAAAAATGTAGGGTTCCACACAGTTCATTCGTGTTGTCCCAACACAAATCGATTATGTTAACTTAACGCATTAAAGTGGATTGAACATTAATCAATGAAGTTGTCCCAAAGTCTCCTCATTTGTGTTGTTTTAGCTCATTTTAAATAAATTGCTTGCAAAAGCAGTTACATAATTTTTTGAGTATACTATTAAAGTATTAGTTTAAAGTGTAGTATACCTGGGTACCTAATACTGGGTAACTTTTAAATAACATAAATACTACACTATATATATATGCTTTAATGTATATACTTTAAATATATAAAATCTAATCAAAATACTAGTCACATCTGCATGCATACTATTTTTAACTGAATAGTTGAAATCTCAATAAAAGATCACCACAGAATCAATGGTAAAAAATTTGTTATGAGTAACAGTAAAACAGTCATTATTGATGACAGTACAGTGTAAAAAATTATTAGTTACTTAAAGTAATCCTTTTGTAACTTGTAACTGTTATTATTGTGTGTATTTTATGTATTGTGCATACTCTCAAAACATTTTTGCTGCTTGTTAAAATTACTTATTTAAAATGAGCTGAGACAACACAATTCTTGAGTTTTTTTTTGGGGACAACTTAATTGTTTTATGTTCCATCAACTTCAAATTGTAAAAACCATTGAGTTTACTTCATTGATTTGCATTGGAAAGACATGAAGGAATTGCGTGGAACCCAGCATTTTTACACTGTAGTTAATTTACTTCATAGTTTAAAGACAACAGGGTGTTTTCACAACTGTCTTATTTAGTTGGTTGAATCGCACTAGAGTTCGTTTTCGTGTGGTTCGTTTGGGCAGGTGTGAATGCAGCACAAACTCGAGTGCACACCAAAAAAGAGACCTTCTTAAAGAGGTAGTCTTGCTATGCTTTCAAACGAACACTGGAGCGGTTCGTTTGTGGTGGGAATATGATCTAAACTAAAACAGACCCAACCATAAAAAGTACTTAGCCTTTTTGGACTAATCCAGCTGCTATAGCGGATGCGTTGTGCATAATGAGATGTGGAGGAAAAATATTTGTTGGCAGCGCTTTAACAACAATTTTAAACGGAGAGAGAGAGGGGAAAAACATTACTGATGGATCGTTGGTAATATTTCTGTAAGATGACAATGTCGCAGTTTAGCTAAATTAATTCACGCCTCCTCCTGAAGTAACCTGCGATACGCTGGTTTGAAATGTATTTAAGTATCGTTTTCAAGCCGCAGCCACGCTTCATTCTCAAAATGTATACTTTGCCTAAAGGGATGAATACAAACTATGTAGTAAATTATGATCAGGGATACAATCAGAAGGATACAGTGTAAAAGTGCCTCATGAATAAGAACTGGTATCTATTTAAAAAATACAAGAATCTCAAGAATGAGTACTAGTATCCTAATAATAAGTTATAATGTCCAATAAATAATTACTAATGTATATCTAATAAGTTATGGTGTGTAAATGAGTATCTAATTAATAAGAACTAGTTTCTAAGCCAGGGGTGGGCAAACTCGGTCCTGAAGGGTCGGTGTCCTGCACAGTTTAGCTCCAACTCTAATCAAACACCTGCTTATAGATTTCTAGTGATCTTGAAGACACTGATTAGTTTGTTCAGGTGTGTTTGACTAGTGTTGGAACAAAACTCTGCAGGGACACCGGCCCTCGAGGATCAAGTTTGCCCATCCCTGGTCTAAGCACTAAGAACTAGAAAACTTTTCTAAAAATTAATACAAACGTATAACTAGCAGCATCTGTTCACTCTAAAAACTCCAAGCCTAAACAACAAGGCCAAAGATGCTTAACATAAGTGGGCATGGCAACACTTCAAGAGCGCCGTCATCTGTAGTTTGCTTAACCGTATGAGAGCTGCCATATCAAGCTGCTCAAAAATACACAGGTGAAATATCCTGTTAATATCACAGTCTGTTAATGAAATCATTGAGTCATTCTGAAACAACCATTGCACATTTCTTCTGTGGAAATCCACATCTCCAAGAGATTAAAATCTCAAGTAACCCATAATATAATTTGTGCGTGAGCTAATGGAAAAGAAACATATAGGATACAATTCAACCTGCAGCTTGTGAGAAAATCTTAACAGCTTTTTTTCGAGGCTCTACTGATCTGAATGTTGACCGCTATTCACAATCTCTGTCCACCTCCTACCAGGTGTTCCTGTATATATGTGTGTGTGTGCGCGAGCATGAGTGTGTAAAAGGTTTTTTGTGTGGCGTTTGGCTCCTGTATAATGAGTCTTTAAGTGGTGGGTGAATGGACTCAATGTCCTTGGAAAAGATGAGCTGCAATTTGCAAGTCAGAGCAGAAACTACAAACAACCTAAAACAGTCAATTACTGCCTCTGTTATCGCACAGTATTAACCACAGCCAGCTGGAAAGAGAGACACCCCCAAAAAAAGGAAATAGAGAGAGAGACTGGAGTGTAGAAATGGACATCTCGGACATCAACAGAATAATAGCCATGTGGAAATGGCAACGTTTACATGCAAATTGTGTTTAAATGGATTGAGGCCGCAATTTAAAGAGCGTAAGAAAATCCTTTTAAATGCAGATAATGTTTAAGATGTGATATTACTGCATAAAATTTCCCTGATGGAGGACATTTAGCTTCTCTGTTATAATGGGCAGATGAGTAAATCTTTTATTTTTTAGTGATTCATCTGGGATATTGCATTCTCTCAGCCTCCTTTTAAATCAGATTTTAATTCACGCTGTTTAAATCAGAGCAGAAAGTTGATAGCTATAAAAGTCTTGACGCACTTTGATTTTTCAGGAGAAAACTAGAAAAGCCAACAATATATATTTAAAAAAAATGTTTTCACACACAAAAAATGCATATTTAAAGCCATTTCATTGTTAGAAGAGAAAATAATCTTTGTTTTGTTTTATCTTTCTTTTTTCGGATTGTTTTCTTTAATTATTGGTGTTTGCTGAGGCTCCAGCTGAGGATTGCTGTTTCTTATGCTTAGGGTTAGGATTTGTTTTAAACCCATAACTCCGTATTAAACATTGGAGTTGGGGTTTTGATGCCTATAATCATGCAACATGATGAAACAGACTACTGTTTAAAGGTTTGGGGTCAGTAAGAGTTATTAATGTTCCTCAAAGAACATCTTATACAAAAAAGGCTGCATAGAGCAAAATTATCAAACATTGTTATTGTTATTATTATATTTATATTATTATAATTATTTTGATTATTATTATTATTTATTTATTTAAATTTTTTTCTGTTAAAATGCACTACCTGTCAAAAGTTTGGGGTCCGTTTTTTTTTTTTTTCCTATGTTTTTTTTTTAGAAAATTATTTTGTTCATCAAGCAGCATTTACTGAATATAAAAAAAGTTAAATATTTATAAATATGTAAATAACTACTGTCTTATTGTATGCAGTTTCAAATTAAATTATTAGTCCAGTCATTATTGTTTTTATAACTTTTATCATTACTACTACTACTACTAATAATAATAATAATGATGATAATAATAATAATAATAATACTAATAATAATTAATATTAGAGTGATTTCTGGAGGATCTTTTGACTCTGAAGACTGGATTAAAATCCAAAGATAAAAATCTTCATTTTTAAAGTCACTGAAATAAATAATTAAATTAAATTATAAACTACTTCTGAACAGTTACTTTATAGTGCAATAACACTTCACAATTGTACAATTTGTAATGTATTTTTGCTGAAATTAATGCAGCTTTGATGAGCAGGAGAAACTTATTTTAAAACATTTAAAAATCCTACAGACAAACAAAAATTTAGAATTTTTGATATTCGATATAATGTATATGGTGATTTTTAGTGCTCATGTGGTGCCTGAAAATCTGTTCTTTTTGGAAACCGCGATGTGCTTTTTTCTTGTATTAGATTTTAAAATAAAACTTATTTTATTTTATTTATATATTCACAAGGGTGAGCTTAAAACAGCTTTGATTTTGTTGTACTTGTGCTATTCAATTTTATTTTTTATTGAAAAAAAAATCATTAAATCAAAAATAACTATCACTCATTTTCACCATGAAATACTGTAGATACTAAAATTATCTCAAGTAGAACAATGATTTATATTTCAGAATGTCCTTTCAGACATATTTAGAGCAAGAATCATTTGATGAAAGTTTAATCAACTCGGTTTAAAGGGTCATGAAACCCCCCTCTTTCAGTTCAAGTCTGCCCCCGAATTTTTTCAAAAAATGCTTCATGATGGGCATGCAGTGTTATGAGCAGAGGGAGGAGTGGGCTTGGCCGGCAGAGCTGGGGGAAAAAAGAAGAGCGAACAACTGTCAGTTAACTCACAAAATGAGACCCAAACAGTGAGGAGATGCATAATTTTATAGTTTACGAAGTTAAAAATGCAACAAAACAAACAGTGAGTAATTTAATGTCCTGCTACATTTGTTATTCGTGATTTCATATACACATAACCACAATTTTTTATATCATCGTGAAAATAATCGTGTTTATATAAAATCTATAAATGAGGAGGAATTCTCTACTCCTCATTTCCATGTCTGAAGACAGACACAATGAAGCAGTGCAGCAGGTCTCTTGCCCTGCCTATTTCAACCATTAGCCCTGCTGGTAATCTGGCAAACACAGAAGCATAGATAGGGGATGTGTCTGAATGGTAACAAACTCAAATGATAAAAGACAAAGTCCGCCATTCTTTAATTCTTGTACAGCTCTTCCGACAAAAATTCTTGCTGCAAATCAACAGCTTTGCTGTATCGGCTCTGACAGCATTGCAGGGGAAAACATGCAATAAACTAAAGGAACACATATGACCCATGCCGTGAGCAGACGTGGTCTCACCCAGTCATTGGGTCTCACAGCTTATCAGGTCTGCCTTGTTTTCAAAAAGCATGTGCAGTCATGAATAATCAAGAAGAAGGGTCTTCTCATGGGATAACAAAACTCCGCCATGAATAAAAATGAGAAACTGACGCGTCATCACTCCACTAACAGATTCGGGCTATGACACAGATTTTGATCACTTTCCAAAAATTATTTTAAACCCAGAAGATAAAATTAGCTGACAAAAGCCCAAAATTATTCACTTTTCCCCAAAATTAAAGCTGACAGGTGCTGACGTTTTTTTAACTGATGCTCAACACACAAATCTGTATAAAATAAAAATAAAAAAAAGTACTCCAGGGTGTCTTGAACCTTTAAGCATCACAGTGCAGCTCCAAAATATTAAGTAATTGTCATTGCCACTATTCTTCAAAAGACTATAATAAAATGACTTTTAAAATAAGTTAAAAGTTACAAGGATCTCAAATAATTATTAATTAACAAAATTTCACAAATTACTATGATCCCATATTGTTTATACAGGTAAAGACAAAATTGTCAGCCCTCTAGTGAAATCTTAATTTTTTTTCAAATATTTCAAGTGATGTTTAACAGATCAAGTACATTTTCACAGTATTTCCTATTACATTTATTTTTCCTTCTGAAGAAAATCTTATTTCTTTTTTAACTATTACTTAACTATTTTGAGGGCAATATTATTTGCCCCCTTAAGATATTTTTTCTTGATTGTTTACTTCAGGATAAACCACTGTTATCCAGTACGTTTGCCTAATTATCCTAATTGGCCTAGTTAGCCTAAATAGCCTAGATAATCATTTAAATCACACTTTAAGCTGAACAGCCTTGCAAAATAAGTAGCAAAATATGCATCGCTATCATGGCAAAGACAAAAGAAATCAGTTATTAGAAATTATTAAATCTATTATGTTTAAAAATGTATTGAAAAAATCTCTCTCCGGTAAACAGCAGTTGGGGGGAAACATTTTTTAAATAAATGCATTTTGACTTCAACTGTATTTTTAAATCAATAAAAGCGCTTAAGAGACTTATCAGGCTTTCTTTTTGGAAACCCAACATATGGGGATGTATAATTTTGCAATTGAGGGATATAATAAAGTTCCAATATGGACTCTCATATGGACATTTAACGTAAAAAGTTGTCACGATGTTCTCCATTAGGGGTCCTTTCAGAGAAACCCAAAAATCTTTGTTATTATTATGTATGTATGTATATCTGGATCTCTGCTTCTCTGTTTTCCAGCAATGAAGACAGACAGGAAGCGTTTGAGGTTGGAGAGGACTGATCTGGTCAATCAGATGCAGCAGCTTTACACCACACTAGAGAGCCGTGAGGAGCAGCTCCGAGATTTCATACGCAACTACGAGCAACACCGAAAAGTAGATTCCATTTCTCATGCAATAATACATTTACAAAGTTTAAATCTGGATAAATTCCCACTTTTAACCTTCTGAATGTTTTGTTTTCGTGTCGCAGGAGAGTGAAGATGCAGTGAGAGTTTTGGCGAGAGAGAAGGATCTGTTAGAGCGTGAGAAGTGGGACCTTCGGCGACAAACCAAAGAGGCCACAGAACACGCCGGTGCTCTCCGTTCTGCACTGGACCTGAAAGAGAGCAGGATCAAGGAGCTGGAGGCTGAACTGACCATGGTAAGATGCACATCATGTAGAAAAACAGGCTTGAGGCCAATATTTAGTAAATATAAAAATAATAATACATATTCTTGCATCTACACATGCGAACCATATTAAGCCCGTGCACTGCAGTTTTAATATACATTCAAATATATGTTATATGATTCAAAAATAGAATAGATACAAAAAATATCTACAGTTAATGTTAATTTGAATTAATTTGAATTAATTTAATTAATTTGAAAAACATCATGCTTGCTTGAGGGGGTTTTAGACTTTTGCCAAAAAGAGTTTATGTGAATAATTGTAGATGTAAATGCTTTTGAGATAAAGTAATACTAATAATAATTCCTTACATTTACATAGCACTTTTCTGGACACTCTAAGTGCTTTACACATTGGGGGGAATCTCTTCCAATTATCATATGGGGATGGTTAGGAGGCCATGATGATCAGAGGCCAGTGGGTAAATTTGGCTAGGATACCTCAGTTTAACATCTCATCTGAAAGACGGGGATCACTGAGCAGTATAGAGTCCCCATCAATATACTGGGGCGTTAGGACCCATACAGACTGCAGGTTGAGCGCCCACTGCTGGCCTTACTAGCACCACTTACGGGAGCAACCTAACTTTCCCTTGTGGTCTACCATCCAGGTACTGACCAGGCATAGCCCTGCTTAGTTTCAGAGTTGCAGAGAGCTAGCCGCTGGCAAACGAAAAACTTAGTTTACACAATTGTTCATTTCCACTGATGGTGTCATTTAGGCCTGGGCAAATGATCAAATGCATTTTACAAGTGCATTTTGTCAGTAAAGCTGGTTCTAGTAAACCTACACGAGTTGTAGGTCACTGACAAGCTACGCAAAATCATGTTGAAATTGAAATTAGTTTAAGCAGACAATAAAAAATGTATCTTTCTGTGATGATAGCAGCTGCATGTAAAATTAACACAAATAACAACTCACTTTTACTCCAAACTCGCTTCATAAATCAAGTGTATCTTTCAATGAGATGATTCCATAATCTTTTGACTATTAGTCAAGCTGAATCGATGAAAATGGGTAAATCATCTGTTAATAATACAGTGCTGTTGACTTTATTCTGCAATGCGTAAATACTCTTGTTTTTGCGATTTAGTTTTAGAACTTTCGTTTCAGTTGCGTATGGGAGAAATAATTAGGAATAATAAACGGAAGAAAACAATCTAACTACTTTTCTATAAACATGTGTGTTCATGACTATATTTAAAAAGGTGGATAATATAATAAGAAAACACCAGTTTAAAACCTCAAGAAGCTGTTTTTAATGTCTTATGGCTGATTTATACTTCAATGTCAAGCTCACAAATATGATCCAGCGCAGACTGCTCGTGGTTGCATAGCCCTTGCCGTGGCTGATGCTGGCGCGCACCTCTCAATATATTTAACTATATGTCACAATGACGCGTAGAGCTAGCATTGTGATTGGTCTGCTTGGGTAGCTGTGATGAGAGCTGCAAGCCCAGCGGAGTGTTTACTAGTGTGTAGTCCCCAGATGAAAACTTTTGTTTTTTGTTTACCCTTAGATTAAAGTCTGCATGAGTAAAGTTAAGCTACTTGTACATTAAGGTAGCATTCAGAAAAAACAAAACACCTGTGAAGTAACTCGACACAGAGGAACATTTTAACCTACTGCCAACTAGCATTTCGGAAGTGTTATTGCAAAACAAAACAAACAGCATGCAGAATTATAAATGCATGACTACGCGCAAAGCAGTCACTGTGAGTTATGCCGATTTCTCGACACAGAAGTATAAATCAGCCTTACAGATCAATGAAAGTGAATTAGACCGGAAGTCTTGAGGCTCAAGATTAAGGTCAATAGGCATTCCCTGGATTACTTCTTCATGGGGTTTAAAGTTTCTTTGTGCTACCCTGACAAGATGTGCATGATAATTACAGCTCTTCTCAGTAATGTTTCATTTAGATTAATAACCCAGCCCTAGTATAATTCCAGTTTCTTGATTACTACGTTATCAATACCACTGTCTACCACTCTAACAACTTGATGGAAATACACCTAATTCACATTTGGGATAGTTTGTAATTGCTTTATCATTTATCAGCTGAGACAATTTGTTCTGAAAGTGATTCTAACTAAATAATTTCTCTGCATAGTTATTGTTATGGTGTGAAATATGATACTTTTTAAATGATTGTTAGAATAAAACCTTTGTCACTATCTTTATCATCCTTTTGTGAATTGCCTTTTAGGTTAACCTACTTTGTCTGCTGAGTGGGTTTACAAATATTTGACTTTAATAAATATGTGTTTGTATGCTATCTGTCTCAAAAGTAGCAGAAAAATTTAAGAGTCGGGCAGTGTGTGTGTGTGTATGTGTGCTGCTGTTTATATGTGTGTTTCTTTAACAGATGAGTAGCTTTATGGCTCAGAAACTAGAGAGTCGTGTGTTTGTTCGATCTCCTGAAAGACCAGCCTCACCTAAAACAGTGTCGGTAAGATCAGCCAGGCCTGTCAATCAATCCAAGCTCTCTCTGTGATTGGTCTGCTGTGTTGACCCGCCCTCTGATGTGTGCATACATTTTATGCTATGTGATTGTTTTAAGAAATGGAAAAAAGCATGTGTCATTTTGTGTGTGTGTGTGTGTGTGTGTGTAAGTGTGTTTGTTTTTTCTCTCTGCATGTTAGTTTTTCTCTGTGTTTAGGAGTTTGGAAAGCATCCTAACCCAGTGATGATGGAGAATTTGGTTGTGGTGGTGGTGGTGTTTTTCTTTTTGGCTTGTTGTTTGGCATGACTGTGGTGTGAAGGGATTTTGAACCTGGCCCAGAATGGAATCTGCACAGTTTGTGTTTTCTGCACGCATAAAGGAAGGGGAAAATGCTGAAATTTGCAGAGAAGAAGTTAGAGTGGTATTTTAAGAGAGAACTTTTCCTTTTTGTTTGCTAAAAGATTTTATTCCATTACCCACATTAACCTCATTTTCAGTTTGGCTAGAATAAAAGCAGTTTTTGCATATTTAAAAAAATAAGTTTTGGTTAATATTATTAGCCCTCTTTTATCAGATGCAGAACAAACCACTGTTGTCTAATAACTTGCCTAGTTAATCTACCTTGCCTTGTTAACCACATAAACCTAGTTATGCCTTTAAATTGCATTTTAAGATGAATAATATTAGTAAATAACTATTAAAATAGCTAGTGAAATATTATCTATTGTCATCATTATTAAAGCTATTATTTCTCTCCGTTAAACATCACTTGGAAAATATTTGAAAAACAATTAATATTTTACTGAGTTATTTCACAAATTTGATATAACTGTATATACAGTTGAAGTCAGAATTATTAGCCTTCCTGAATTGTTATACACCCCCCCCCCCCCCCCGTATTTTTAAGAAGTCCCCTATATTTTTTTCAATCACTTCTAAACATAATAGTTTAATAACTTATATTTAATAACTGATTTATTTTATCTTTGCCATGATGACACTACCTAATATTTCACTAGATATTTTTTTCAAATAAAATATACAGGTTAAAGTGCAATTTTTAAAGGCTTAACTCTGTAATTGGGTTATTTAGGCAAATTATCATAATTAGACAAGTCTTGGTATAACAGTGGTTTGTTTTGTAGACAATCAAAAGAAAAAAAAAGAAAATATAGCTTAAAGGGTCTAATAATTTTGACCTTAAAATGGTTAAAAAATGTATTCTTTAGAAGAAAAAATATTATCAGACATACTGTGAAAATTTCCTTGCTCTGTTAAACACCATTTGGGAAATATTTTAAAAATTATATATACATACATACATACATACATACATACATACATACATACATACACTTCCATACAGCTTAAAGTGACATTTAAAGGCTTAACTTGATTAATTAGGTTAACTAGGCAGGTTAGGGGTAATTAGGCAAGTTATTGTATAACGATGGTTCGTTCTGTAGATTATTGAAAAATAATATAGCTTAAAAGGACTAATCATTTTGACTTAAAAAGTTTTTTTTTAAAAAAACAAATAAGACTTTCCCCTGAAGAAAAATTATTATAGGAAATACTGTGAAAATTTCCTTGTTCTGTTAAACATAATTTGGGAATTAATTAAATAAAAAATAGTAATAATAATTAAAAGGGGGGCTAATAATTGTTTGTTATAAATTGTTTAATAACTATATGTATGTTCCTTTATTCCAATTCATTTTTTTTTCAGTTGACAAAACAGAACAGAGAAGATAAAAAGAACTACTTGATGTAAAATGTTGATAGCAGTTGATAAAGTCCGACATATGTAGTGTGTTGAGCAGAACTGAGCGAGTGCAGACTCTGTGTGGGCCTGTGGTGATTAAGTTTAACTTTAGCTCCAGACTGCCACTACGGTGAGCAGTTATTGTAGGCAGCGCCACACGTTCCCTTTCACACATTTTACTCTTGTTTACAACACACTGTCTCTGGACGAGGAAGCGGACCTGATTGAATTAAATCTGTCTGTGTGTTTCAGGCAAAACAGTCTTTGGCTACTCTCACTAAAGATGTTCCGAAGCGCCACTCACTGGCCATGCCAACAGAGACCGTCGTCAACGGCAACCAGGAGTGGGCGATGCATGCTGAGCTTCCTCTGACTGCGGCCATACGACAGAGTCAACAGAACCTCTACCACTCCATTGACAGACAGGGTACACACACTCTTTACATACAAATCACTCATGACCTGCCTGGGTCTGAAAGATTCTTCTGTTCAATCAGTTCCTTTTAGCTTCCTAATTTTTTCATTAAAGACATGAAACTGTAGACAAAATATTTTAATTTCGAGGTTAGAGGCTTTTTTCAGTCTAATGTAAATATCAAAATACAGTGTTTATTTTGTCAGAGTTCATTTTTTGTCTCACGACATCAGTTTGGGTTTGTAGATTTTAATTACAATACATATTATTAAAGGCTGTTTTCTCAAATATTAGTTTATTATGTGCTACACCATAAAATACTTCAGAAGCACTTAAACCACTTTACAATTATATTTGTATCTATATTATGAAGGTTTTTAAAGAGGAATGTGTTTTTGCATAATATGCCTAATTATATGCAACATTTTATTTAGTAAAAATAAACAAATAAAGATAAATTAATTGAATAAGAAAATAAGTAAATGAAGTAAACAAATAAACAAATAATAAAATGAACTAATACAAATAAATAAATAAATAAATAAATAAGTAAATAAAAATGATAATAAAATTAATAATAAATGAATAAATAATAAAATAAATAAATAAATAAATAAATTAATTAATTAAATAAATAAATAAGTAAATGAACCAATCATTAATAAATATAAATAAATAATATAAATGAGTAAATATAATTAAATCAATAATATAAATAAATAAATGAATAATAAAATAAATAAATAAGTAAATAAATCAATTAATAATAAAAATGAATAATTAAATAAACAAACAAACAAACAAATAAATAAATAAATAAATAAATAAATAAGGTGTATTTCAGAATTATGTAGAGATATAAAGACGTTCCTAAATTCCCCCTCGGATATTAAAAAAACAATAATTTTGAATTTGACCTAATTTAATGTTTAGATTTTTGTTTTAGAAACATGCAGTCAAACAATTTGCAACTCCTAATGGAAACAGTCAACTGGGAAAATAGACTAATCACTATTAGTGGAATATTTAACAAAATCTTTTTGTGTTTTCTGCTTGTATTTGTGTGTGTTAGTCCTGAAAGCATCACCATGTGTTTGTGACGGTGATGGAATCAGTATGATGTCATCAGCCGCGGCCAGAATCAGTCCGTGTCACTCGAAACAAGCATCTGTGATGTCAGACGCTTCAGTAATGGAGGGAGAAAGATCCTCAACGCCGTCAGACTCACCTCGACACAGAACACACTCCCTCTGCAACGTAAGACACACACACATACTGTGGCATTCTTTGCATTGCAAAACAAATACACAAATGGACTAATGTGTACGGTGGCTTGGTACTGTCCACCTGATTCCCAAACCTATTCCAAAACATGATTTGCATGTGGATTTACATTTTTCATTTAGCCAACTTTACCCAGAACAACTAAAAAAATAAGAAATGTCTCTATTAATGTGTTGTAATTCAAGACAACTGAACTCAGAAATATTCATAGGTTTATTCATTGACTAATTTGTGGAAAAGATTGTTGACTTGTTGTTTTAATTGTAATATTGCAGTAAACTACTGTAAAATATTATATTTTTATTTTATAGTTTGTAGTATTACAAATATTTTGCAATGATTTATTTTTAGTAGTAACAATAGTAGAAGTAACAGCAGCAGCAGCAATAGTAGTAATAATTATCAGTTTAATTTGTGATTTAATAATTATTTAAAATTATATTATTCTCGCCCAGTCATTGGGTCTCACAGCTTGGCAGGTCTGCCTTGCCTTCAGAAAGCACATGCAGTCATTAACAATTTAGAAGCAGGGTCTTCTCATAGTACAAGAAAACTCTGCTATTAATAATGAGAAACTGACGCGTCATCACTTCAGAAGCATATGCGTGCTACGTTACAGATTTTGATCCCTCCCCAAAAATTATTTTAGAGCTCAACATTATCCAGTATTCTCCTAAATTAAAGCTGACAGGTGCTGACGTTGTCTTAAATGATGCTTAATACACACAAATCTGTTTAAAAAAAAAAAGTTCTCCATGATGTCTTGAACCTTTAAAGGTGCAGTATGTTGGATTGACACCTAGTGGTTGAACTAGGTATTGCAGTCAAAATTCAAAATATCAGCGTGTGTTTTTTATTTTATTTTATTTTTTCCAATCAGCCACTCCTTAGTCGACTCAATTCACATGCAGGTTGCCAGATTGATGACACAAACTGGAGCGAGCATGTCTGATAATTGAGCCTTAAAGCTGCTCAGCTAATATAATATTTGTATGATTTGCTAATTTGTACATTTTCAGCCGCATTTGCATACATTAAGGTAGAATTCATGACAGAATGTGTTTTCCAACAAGGCAACCTGGAGTGCCAAAATATAAGGTGAAAAAATAGCAGTGGGCGTTAGACCAAAACAAAGACAGACATCCCAACACAAAACACACAGGTGCAAAGGAGAATAACTGACTTTAGCATTGTTTTTATTATTTTTATTAGAATATACAAAAAGGTACACAATTTGAGATGATACAAATACAAAAACTATGAAACAATAACAAAAATACCCAAAAACAACAACAATACAGTCAAATACTGGTAGGTTTGTGTGTTTGTGCATGTATATGTGTGTACATGTAAAAGAAACTTGGTAAACGGTTCAGAGTACATACAAAAGGAACAGTAACAGGAACAGGAAAGGAAAAAAAACAGATAGAAAGAAACAGTCAGTGATGAGTGACAACAATGCTAGTGATATAATGATAGTAATAATGACAGTAAACAAGCGAGAGGACAACAGCAATAATCATCAACAACAACCACTACAATGATAATAAGAATAAATCACAAGTACTACACCGACTACTACTACTACAGAGAGTTTCTAATGTTTCGATTATTACTACTGCTACTATCATTGTTTTTCAGATAGACACTTGTTTACTTGGCATAACTTGTTTCCTACACTGCAAAAATTGTCTCTTGCATTTGATTGTACTTCATTTTATCTTTGTTTACATATACAGGTATAAATTTTGTTTTTTGGTTGAATTTGTAAAGCACTTTGGTCAACATTTGCTGTTTTTAAATGCACTTTATCAATACAGCAAACAAACAAACAACAAAATGATTTTTCTACTTGTTTCTAGTATGAATATCTAAAAATACCTCAATCCAAAAGCATTTTCTAGACAAGCAAATAATATTGTCTTGTTTTCAAAAATGATATGT